CAAAAAAGATGATAGAATGCGGATGAGCAAGTTCTGTTAATATGACTAAGCATACTCATCTTCGAATCAAACCAGATTCCTAAGTTTCGAACTTCAAATGATGGAGCAATTTTGGAGTCGCCAACCGATAAGATGCTGATGTTACTGACTGTCTGAAGTTGTTGTCGAGTTCCAATCAGAAGACATTCTGTCTTATCCGCATTCAGTTCTAACTTGTCCGTTTGCATCCACTGACTAATGTCAGCGATACATGATTGCATGGCAGTTAAGGCAGTGAATTCCTCCATGTCATTTCCTGGTCTAAATGCGATGTACAGTTGTGTGTCATCTGCATAACAATGGGGATTAGGAAGATGTGTTTCGATGATCCTAAAAAGCTTGGTGGTGTAAAGAGAAAATAATAACTGCACGAGACAGCTGCCTTGTGGAGCTCCAAATTCAAGATTAAAGATATTCGATAGGACTCCGTCTATAGAGATACGCTGGGTTCTGTTAGAGAGGTACCTTCGGTCGTTCGTAAGATCGAAATTTCGAGAGTTCTTTTGTTCGTTCATTCATTTCGTCGTTCGTCAACTTGTTCGATCTTTCGTGACTCGCTGGTTTTTTTCAAGTATCGATCACTTGAGCAATGTAAACAATGTTCCTCGAAGCTTTCTTTTTTTATGCGTAGATGGCTAATTGTGAGGCTATCAAATAATTGATCCGGGTCGTTTTAGCCTCGTAATCCATGTTTTAAGATCATGCTTTTGCCTTGGAGCATACTATGAGTCAGCCATTTGGACATTTTGAGAATCTAAATGTTTGAGTTGGAAAAGTTCTATAACGCTGAGAGATGAAATTTTTTTCGCAAAAATATAAGATATGAGGTACCCGGGATCACTGGAACCCTGAGGATTTGAAGGTGACCGAGTTACTCTTTAATTTTGTGCAACTTTTATAAATCAATTTTTAGAGAAATCGATAGCGTGTGGCTAACGAAAAATTTCATTTCACTGCAATTTCGAGGTAGTTTCAAATATTGTTTAAATGGTCTATTTGTTAATAAGAAACTGAGTTGTTATCATTATTAAACAACAGGTTACGAAGTGTCAGGTGCGAATCTCTTGGTGTTTGTTGATGTAGTGTTAGCCTTTCGCCTTTTTCAGTTTTTTTTTTTTCTTTGTAAATTATTACGAAATTGAAGTTACGAGACCACAAAACACGCAAAACCCATAAAATAAGTTTTCTAGGAAAGTCCCGAACTTTTGTTGAAAAATGGATCAACATTTCAATGGAGTCGACCTTTTTCCAAAACTGGAGAAAACTGAAAAAAAATTCTCAACGCTAAAAACTGAGGTAAGCTTACGTGGTATGAAATGATTCTCAGGCCACTGTAATTCTGATAATATGAGAGAAAAGACGGTCTAAAATCGAACGCAGGAAAACCCCTAATGACAGGTGAAGTTTTTTCATAAAAACATCAACAGGGTAAATGACAGTTTTAAAGATTACCTGGTAAAACGGAAGTATTATTTTCCGGTGCAAGTTAAAATTTCTTATGCAGTTCGATGAGTACTCTCAGAGGTCTTTTTTGTGGAATTCGGTAGATAACTAGGTTATCTACTGTGTCTTATCCATCTGCGTTACTTTATAATTCTCATGTTTGCCACGAAATTGCTGCCATTAACATTACATCCTATATATTTTCCCAGTCTGCAACAGAGAAAATTATAGAATCCACCGCGGTCTCCTTTCACTGGGAGCTAATAACTTTCTTTTAACCGCCTTTTAGAACATGACCTCTATTGGGCACATGGCTACTTTCAAAGTTTTCAAAGTTATGACGAATTTGGTTTATGTTCCTGTGTTTCGTCATTATGATGAATGACTAGTTTGATGGAAAATGAAAATGAAACCAGGTAGTTAAGTCTTTCACGCTCGAACCTGCCTCAGGCTTAGAAACTCTTAACGGTGACCAATTTACATTATCAACTTAGTTGCTAAAACTAAATTATCTTGTAATACCACCCACCCCTATCCCCTCTTTCCAATGGCCAGCACCACCATCTGTATTAGTTAGAAATTACCCTGACTACAAGCAAACCTCCCGGTTTTCACGCGCCCGTCGAACCTTTGACCAAGACATTTTTCAAACACAAATTTTACCTGCTATCTCCAGTTATTACATTATTCAAACAACTCAATCGACAACGGATAAGTGTCACCAAGATTCATTCAGCGAAAATTCTTAAGAAACATTTGAGCAGTTGAAGTGATGTGAAGGGAAAGACAAGAAGTGTTTTTTTTTTTTTTTTTTTTTTTTTTTAAAGTAGAACGTACCAAGTTAAATTTGATTAATTTCAATTGAGAGGGATAAAAATTAATTGAATGAGAGCAGAAACTGATAAGCTTCAGGGGCTTAGGGATATTGTCGAAACATAACGGTCAGCAGTCTGCTTATGTCGTGGTATAGACGTCAAGGATTGCACGGTAAGACCTTTCGTTCTTCATGTTGCCCGGTACTCGGTCTCTTCGCAATCTCTCTCAGAGTCGGTGATGAAGATATCTCTTTTTTTAGTTCTTTTCAATTACATAAGCAAGAAAAGAATAGTGTAAATTTACAGGCGCGAGGGAGGACTACAAGTGTCTTAGATCTATTTCATTGTATTCCAGTGCATCTAACGTTAGAGCGGTTAAACCTCATTTGAAACTTGCAAACCCATATTGACTCTTTTAATTTGGGTTTTCTTGACTTTGATTGAAAGAAGCCAAAAAGTAGAAAAAAAAAATGTACATTTTACTACAGAAGTGTTCTGCTTTTTCTCCGTGTGTGACTTTTTGTCACAGGAAGTGGGCGTGCAAAAAAATAGATAAATAAATAAAAAAACGCGGGTTTTTGGAAAAAAAGAGCGTTTCGTGCAATAAACTGCCACTCAAAAGAATTGTTTTGGTCCTTTTTGAAAAATTATAGAATAACGCAATTGATAGGGATTAAAACTTACCAAAAGCAGTCAGATAGGGATACATGTAACTGTAAAGAACAAAGAAGGGACCTTCTTCAGGTAGCCTGCAGGGTCATGCAGTTAGTTTAAATGAGGTTTTGCTTCGAAATCATTGTAAATACGGGCTCGAGCCTCAAGTGAGGGGCATTCAAGTAAACAACTGAGTAGGGGTTTTGTTTTTTAAAGATATTTGTCAATAGGTTGAACTGGGGAAACGATTTTTCTTTTTAACCAGTTGTAGGACGTACTAAAACAGCAATCCTACGTTGTTTCAGACATTCAGTCATCACTATATTTTTTATGTCGAAGGTAAAATGGCATGAACTTTATTTTGCGGCTCTTTGCCCTGCGATTGGTACGGAATCCTTGCACATGACTCTGAACCAATCAGATGCAAAGCTGACACCAACTACAACTTGGTCCCTTGAGAGACCCTTCGCCAATTTGGCTTTTTGTTTTACCTCGAAACAGTTTTTTGATCCTTGTCATACTTCTTTTGCTGATTTACAGTTTTTTTTTTACTTTGGTTTTTTCTTGGAGCTCTAAATCAAAAAGCGTTGCGAAAACTTCTTTGAATAATTTGTGAACTTCTTGCGAGTAACACTTTTCTCTCGGCAGCTGACCGCTGACGAACAAGAACGACGTAGAATTAGAAGAGAGAGGAATAAAGTGGCCGCCTCTAAATGCCGCAAGAAAAGAAAGGAACATGTCAAAACGCTAGTTGAGGTATCTGGGTATCGTATTTATTCGATTTACAGCTCTGGAAGGTCAAAATATTTGAACCCTCGAGAGTGAGAGCTTGTTCGAGGCAGTTCGCATTTATTTTGCAACAAAATAATGATTAAAATTGAAACGTAATGATGTACTATAGTTCGTGAATTTAGAAATTGTAAGCCAAGAAAGAAATAGTAGTCAATACTTTATTTTTGCACTTCAGTTTTTAAGGAAGGGGGAATGGGCGCTAACTCGAGGCTAAGCACTTAATCGAATAAATATAGTAGTTATGAGATGATATTCAGACTTATTGCTCTCACTGCTAGAGCAGCAGAACCCAGCTCCTTCCATATTGAGCAAGAGTTTCCCCTCGATTAATTCATAAAGACGCCCACAATCCCTGGTGAAGGGATGTAGGAAAGTAGGTTAAGATTGGGATTTACTGGTAGCAGAGGTCTTAGAGAATTGCTAAATGGATTTCTCCATATAATTTGATGATGTCTACTTGCTGTATTGAAGTATTTGTTGTCTTGAAAACGTAACGAAGCTGACATTATAATCCCAATTTTTTTCTCCCAGGCCTCTGAAGAGCTGGAGCTTCAAAACAGTGATCTTCAAGGGCAGATAAGAAAGTTACAAGCGGAAATCAAACAGCTGGAATTCATGTTAGATTCACACAGCTGCGCAAAATATTCCCATATTCCACAGGATGACCACGAACTTGGAATGAATGCTAATTAATCAAGAGGGGAAAAGCTAGTGACAGAGGATAAAATAAAGTGGAAGAATTACTCAATATTCTGATTCAAGATGAAGGGCCATTAATGACGTGTGCATACGTGGATGGAGCATCGCGATGAGCCGCTGTACCGTGATAGTCTGCTGTGCGCTGCAGTTTCACTTCAAGCGTTTTTTCTCGCGGATACACGTGCAAAGAGCGAGATTTTGAGCGAAATTTGGTTTTACTTATGCATGTTAACAAACTGGTTCGTTGTATCAACGCTACTTCATAGTTTGTTTGCTTCCAAGAAGCTCGCAGTCAACAGGAGATGATGATGAAGAGATATAAAGAAAAGAGATCGAGACAAATTAAGATACATTGAAATATTATTGCCAAGAAACAAGTATTAGCGAGTTTACTTAAAAGGGAATTTTCTTTTATTTATGTAGCTAACTCCTTTAAAATAGCGTTCTTAGTTTTAGCTTTTAGGCTAGTTTATTTGCTTAGGGACAAAATTAAAGTATTTTACATCGCCCAACGCGATAACATTTGCGTTCGTCTTTCTTCATAGTAACCGGACTGAGTGGAGAGAAGTCTATCAAGTAAAAGAGTAAAAATTTTCATATTCCCTAATCTTGTATAAGTTCCTTATCAAACTTAACCATAAAACTCAGGAGCTTTTAAGGAAGTTTATTATTGTCTTTTTTTTTTCATTATTCATTTTTTAGGACCTCTATGTAAACCACTATTGTGATGGAGCTTCCTTGACCAAGACATTATTCAAACACAAATTTTACCTGCTATCTCCAGTTATTACATTATTCAAACAACTCAATCGACAACGGATAAGTGTCACCAAGATTCATTCAGCGAAAATT